GGGCCTCTGGGAACTATTTGCCATGGTGGGAGGCGGAGGGGGGGAGAGAGTGTGGAGGAGTGAAGCTGCCTTCCCTCATTTTCTATCTCTTCTTAATTCTTTCTGTCTATTTTCCACCTTTTTTGTCTGTTTTATTTAAGCCGACAGGCTGAACTGGAGGGCGTGGGATGGCCGGTGGGGAATAAGGATGAGAGAACAGTGTAAGAAGGGAGGAGACAGATGAAATGAGATAAAGACGAGCGGCGGCGGCGTTGAGCTGCAGTGAAAAGACAACCAGAATGTAGAAATGGTTGAAGAGGAGGAGAGGAAACAAAGAGTGATACAGTGTCTGTTTGTGTTTGTGTAGAGAGGAACGGACGCGTACTGAACTTTATAACTACACTGTGCGAAAACAGCTTTGTGACAAGGGTGAATATGAAGTTTTCTTTTATTTAATCAGGTAAAAATGACATTTATACCACCGAAGAGACATTATATCCTCCTCCTGGCTCCTCTTTAGTTTTGCTTTTAGTCTCAAACGAGTATAAACCGACTGAATTATCCGTACTTTGATGCTCTCAACCGGACAAAGGTTGTTCATTAAAGCCCAAAACTGATATGAATGGATCAGAAGTGTGTAACTATTTACAGAATTGACCTTCAACTATCAATATACTTATATAAACGTCTTTTTTAGGGCGTTTTTTACATCCATATATGGATAATTGTGGGAAATGAAACTTCTCGTTTCCACAATGATAAATCTGATGAAAAGAAGTTTTAGTCTGTCTGGCCCTGGTCTGATATAATGATGTTTTTGCATTAATTTGAATGACCAGGATCATTAATATCCTATTTTTAGACACATTTTATGACTTCTTAATGGATAAAGAACGAGGCAAAACCTCTTTACTGCCATAAATACAAGTGCACACTGCCTAAAAATGGAGAAAGTGATTGTAAGTTTAAACATTTTTATGTCTTTTTAAGGTATTTGTGGTTTCATTATGCCAGATTTTAGAGGGACTAGAGTCCAAATGAGAGAAATATTGTCAAGAGATGAGTTTTGGCTGTCGGGCATACAATTGGAAGTCACATTAAATTGTTAATGCCTGTTGTAGATGGATTTTGAATTAAACCAATACTGGTTTTCCTAACAACCTTCATCAGTGGGTTTATTTTGAAAGAGAAAGAGGAAAAAAATATATATATATTATTGGCCTCAACTAGAATATTAACCCTGCCAGTTATGGATTGGAAATGTCAAACCTAAGATGCATTTTTAACCTAGAGCTTAATTAACATAATGAAATGTAGCTGTGAGTCTTAAACGACGCCCGCATCGCTGATATCACCTTGATGACATACAGTAAGGGACGGCATGAGTCAAAGCCGGAGTTTATGGATCAATAGCTGTCGCAGCTCAGGAGTCCTATGATCTGTAAAGCTGCCTGCTTAAAAAGATTATGACTGTGTGTGTGTGTGTGTGCGTGTGTGTGTGCAAAAGAGAATAAATTACAGGGTAATGATATTAAAAGCACAAAGTCGTTAAGATGCCAAGTTAAGACACAATAAATCCAGTCATGGCTTCTACAGCCTGTCCCCACACTGGGTAATTAAATTAGATTTATAAGCCATATTACATCAGTGCTAGATACTTCATCCACCCTCAGCTACCCCGCACCGTCCCTCCATTTTGTCCCGCTTTATTAGACGACCTGACAGCCCGCGAGAAAATATGGAGGAATGTTTCAGGTTCCCGGGGCTGTGAGTGCTCTGCATCTTGGGGGCCACTCTGTCTTTTTTTTTTGCCAGTCAGTCGTTGTCTGCAGATAATATATTAAGCGCTCCACTTCTCCGCGAGAGCAGGCTGGTAGCTGGAGCTGCCAGTGACACAGTCAGAACAGCTTTATCATCATCATCGTCATCCACAGTCACTGTTGTCTCTTGTTTTTATTGCCTCCTCTTCGACCCCCAGACAACTCCACCCTGCTTTCACCTCAGTGGGAGACTTGAACACAAAGAGACAGCAGGTGCAACAGCTCAGTAGCTCCAGGAATAACATGCTTATTGGATGTTTCTGCACCAGAGGGGGGGTGTTTCCAGATGTTATGACTGGGGTGGCACAAGCGGGGTTCTGACTTATGCAGGAGGGGCATTAAATATGTGTCCAATCAGATAGACGAGGCAAATAAACACATTTATGCGGGCAAAAAACTGCTTTGGATTATCGTATAAAGTGTCTGCAAAGGGGAAACTTGTTGGAACCCATTCATTCATCTTGAGGTCAGAGGTTAAGGGATCCCTTCCATTGGTTTCATGGTTGGTATCAATGGATGCGTTAGCTCTTCTAGTTTCATATGATACCAGTATCTTCACTCTAACCTTAAATCAGAGCCCGCTAGTTAAGGATAACAACCTCCGGCCTCCCCTCCTCTCTCTGGAAACGCCGCCTGTTCTGCGCCTCACGATTTTCACGTCCAATGCGAAGATTCGGCGTCAATGCCGGGTTGTAAAGCAGGTCAAAGAAGTTCTTGATCGACTGAAATTCTACCTAATCTTCAGCTGGGGGGGAAGAAATCTGCACGTTTATGTCTACGTTAGTTTAACGGACTCTACCTGCTAGCTGCTTGGTGCTAATCGGAGTTACACAACGCTGCCAAGAAGATGAATTCCTGCTGTCGTCGACCGTTTCTTTTCCACAGATAGTTGTATCGTAGCGTTGGAAGGAATACATCGGACTTTAAATCTGTGTGGTGAAATGTAATTTAGGTGAAATAACCCTTTAAAGTAGAGAGCAGGAAACGTCAATCATAAACAAAACCCTCATTCATGTAATGAGATAAAAGGATGAATCTGCCAATCAGAGGAAGGATTGTGGGCAGAAAATAGCAAAAACACATTATTATTTTGGGATGAAGGCGTGTGTGTGTGTGTGTGTGTGTGTGTGTGTGTGTGTGTGGGAGGACACTTATCTGCCAGTATCAGAGTGAATTAGTAAAGACAATAACGAGAATAATAGCAAGTGAAATATTAATATTTATTACATTTGATGTGTCAGCTGGAAGCAGTGGGAAGAGAGAAGAAGAGGGTGAAAGGCGGCCGGAGTTCAGCCTCGTGTGGTTGATTTTAACGAGCCGTGGCACTTTTATTATCATTATTAATTAGCGGGTTCTCAACCAGCGGGGGTTGTGATCAATAAGGTGGAGTGAAACAAATTCCAATGGCCCATTTGGAATCAATCAGAAAGAGGTTTTTATCTACATAACTGCCACTGAGCGCCGCTCGTTAGCGCCGACATTAGGAGATGAGAGATTTGCAGCATTTTTAATTGGAGCGACGTAACCGAGTCGCCATTTTTCTTCCTTCTTCTTCTAATCTCTGCAAATGTTTCTCTTTTGTTTTCCCAGCTGTAGTCGTCCTAATAAGCACATATGTGATGTATTTAACATGAGGACGTGTGTACATGTTTCACACCCTAATCCTTCTCTTAATCAGACAACCATTCAAATGGGATTAGAGACTATCTGCTGCATGTTTTCCAAGCGGGAGATGTTGTCCTTGTTTACTAAGCTGTGATTTTTATTTTTATTTTCCTCTTCGGAAAGCGACAAAATCCCTTAAACTCGACACGATGAGACCACGTACAGGACTGAGCTGGAGACTGCGGTTCTGTGAAGCTTATGGTGCTTTCTGTTATCAATCTTAGAGTTAATAACTTAATATTTCTTAATGTTGATGTTAATTCTCCTCACTTTCTGTGTAATAATACTATTACTTTTTTTAAATGATAAAACAGGTTTATTTTTACATATTTGTGGAAAAGAAACCCTGTTTTTATCTATTTTATCAGGTCAAATTTTAAATGTGTCCAACAGTTTTATGTTTATACCTGCAAAAACTTGCTAACCTAAACTGGTGATAGTGGTAAACATTATATATCCACTAAAACATCAACATGTACATCTATTGAGAGCTTGTTAGCATGTTGATGTTAGCGTTTAGTAAGTATGTCCTTAACAGAGCAGCTAGCATTACCGTAGACTCCTGTCCTCCCTTATTCAACAAGCCCACATTATTTATTCACTCGCCATTGGAGTTAATCATTTCTGGTCACCGCTAGTGGAAACGCATGAAGTTGACCATGTGGACTAAGCAGATTACACCTAACAACGCTGCCCCCCCAGCTGCTGGTGATATAACTGAAGTAATATTACAAATTACTTTTAGTGCATTGAGATAATCAATATATAGGGGAGCCCCATGTCTGCGTCAACATATAAATAAAACTTCTTTTTGATAAGAAAAGTAAAAAAACACCAGAATATTTACAGATTTCTTATCAAAAAACACTTTTTTAAAAATTCCAGTTTGACTTTAAACTACACAAAATAATGAGATTACCTCACTTTCATCTGTCTCCCCTTTCTTCCCCCTCGTCGCCTTCCTCCTTCCTCCTCCTCTCACAGCAGTCAGCAGTGGAGGGCTACTTAGCACACAACAGTTAATACCTGTCTAATTTATTAGCCTCCTGCCCCAGCCCTGAAGGGCCATTAGCAACACACACTGACACAGCACACCGGCCTGTGTCGTAATTTATTGTCTTATTACAGTGCTGCAGCGGCATCAATTAATTATCCATTAAAGCGCTGCTGTCCCAGGATTTATGGAGGGGACTGTGGGGGCTGTGGGAGATATAGCAGGAGAGGAATGAGGGAGAGGGAGAGAGAGAGTGGGTAGATGTGAGGAAGTGGAGGAGGAGATATATGGGGGAGGATGAAGGATGGATTGTTGTTTTTTGGGGGGTGGGGGGTACACTTTTGGTTTTGAAAGTTAAAAATAAAGTTTGCTGAAAAAGCTTTTAAATTAAAAGCAGCATGCGCTACAAATCAAACGTTGCTGCTTCTAGTAAACAAATATTGTGCAATTTTGAGATAGTAAATCACAGTCAGAGCTGAAATAATTAATATTTTGCTTTAACGCTTTAATTTCCCAAAGAAGTAATGCATCATTTACTCCACACTCTCATACGAGGGGAAGAAACGCTGGCTGCAGTGTGAATGAATTAACATCATTACCGATATTGCTCGAGCTAAAATGTTCACACATATCAATAAACCATAATATGGAGTCTGTGGAGTTTAATAGAGACGCACAAAAGTACAGAAGAGTTGCCAAAATACTTTACTTAAAGCTGCACTAATCAATATTTTTTATATTTAATTGGCTTTACAGAGCGTTTTTGGGTCTTTCAGCTCGTTGTTTTGGTTTCAGAGTGAGTTACTGAGTTTTCATTCAGTCACTTGTTGTTTGTTGTGTCTGTAGTTAATGTGTCTCTGTCAAGAGCTACAGTTTAAATACTGAAGTGTTTCATAGTTTTTTGCTAAAACAAGCCTGTATAGCAACTTTTGTGTGCAGGAATTTGGACACGTTACACCCATCTTGTTCAAAAGCCTAACAAAAGAACACAGTAACGGTTTAAATAAACCAATAATTAACAATTAATAATAACTGACTGTAAACTAAATGTACTTTTGTGAAGTCAATAATTAAATGTAGGTGTAAAACATGAATGCAGGCTGAACTAAACACAAGCTGAAAAACAAGTAAAACCAAAGAAGGTGTCTTAAAGGAGGGAGAGCGAGAGAGGCAGCCATCTTGTGGTTGGCTGTTCATTACCTTAAATAAGTGTGGATACATTTGTGTGTGTGTGTGTGTGTGTGTGCATGTGTTCAGTAAATGAGCTCTGATGTACTGAAACTACCTGCAAATGGCTGACAGACGAAGTTAGAGACCAGCTGGTGAACGAAGTGGAGCTTTGAGCAGCTAAAGAGCGACAATATTTCCTCTCAGGAGTTGGTGGAGACCAAAAACGGAGCTAAAAGGAGAGTGAAACACGAATCCAGATGAATAATAAAGTTGCTCTTTGTGTAAAGGATGTGCAGATTAACAACTGTTTGCCATCAGAATCACCACAACAACGTGGTAATAGTATGTAAAGGTTGTGTTTACAGCTTGTTGGCTGCTGTTATGATAGAAACGGTAGGATCCACTGTGTTTCAGTATTGAATTTCTGGAGCTCCTCTTTAAATATCCAACATTAAAAGACTAATTATGCAGAAAATCTGCTTTATTTTTATTATATATGTTACATTATTGAATTGTTATCACTGATATATTAACATATAAGCTGCATCTTGATGCTGTAGTTCATCAAGCTAATATTAACTATGTCTATAGCAATTAATCATAGTTTTAAAAGCCCATGTATTGTGTGTAAAATATCTAAACACCAAAGCTGGCAGATTAATTTAATAGAAAAAGTACCTCAAAACTGTGTTCCTGTTTTTCTCCATATAAATCACACTGTGAGATTCATGTTCACATAAGCATGGTTCAGTATATAGAGCAGACTGTACTGTATATACATCCTCTGTGACACTAAAATAGAAACACTCCTGTCCTCAAAACCTTGCACGTATGAGACGTACTCAAGGCAAACATCTTCCACCGCCTCCGAATACACGACCAGCGTCGTCCACCCAAACACAATTTGTACAGAAAACAAAGTGTTTCCCAGCGCTGACAGGAAGAATGGATTACTTCCATTAACACTCGACAAGAAACACATTCTGCTGAGATGAAAGGGTTGTAAATTATTGCAGAAGGTGCTGCTGCTTAACAAGTCTGGTGATCCGGGGCTAATGGGGTTCACATTCACTTACTAACTGCATCCCCGGCAGTGTGACACATCAAACACACCCAAAATGAGCATCATCACCGCCTGAAATTACAACATAACTGAATTAAATTAAAATAATATCACTTATTGCTTCAATATCATATGCTTTGTTTTTTATTTCACCTTCCTTTAGACGTCCTGAGTCGAATGATTGACAGGATAAATCACTGAGGGCCTTTAGGTGACAGGTGAACTTGGTAGTACCGAGCTGCAGGAACAACGGCTAGCTTTCTCGCACACACTCACATATTTTATTAAAACTGGAAAAATAATAGCCAAACAGGATTCAAACGACCTTTTTTTATAAAGCATTTTAATCTGGATTCTGCTGTAAACACAACAATTTATTAAAAGTAATGACCTACTACAACAACAACTTGTCTTCCTCTGGGCACTTTCAAGGCCAATCTTCATTAAATTTTTTGAGTTTTAAGTCTTAAACCTTATTTAGAAAAACTTGAATCTTGAATTTTTAAAAATTGTTCAGAAAACTCATTAAAGTGAAAAACATTGAATAATTAAATTTCACTGCTTCCTGGGAACAATTTTGAAGTAATTGCGTTTTTCTAAAGAAGAAACAAAGATTATAGGTTGGCCAAACTTTTTATTAGTTCATTACAAAACGTAAGAGTTAAAACTTTAAATATTAGTGAAGTTGCCTTGAAGTTGTGAGTTTTCTCAACATCTCTTTTTTACATTGTGGTTCAGATCCTCTCAGTCCCTCCAGGAAGTTGCTATGATACACAAACTTGACCAATACCCTGTAAATTATGCACCAATTATTGTAGTTTCTGGCGAGTAAATCATAGCAGTCTCTCCTGCACAATGTTGATGTCACCAAAATATATATATTTTTACTTTCTCCTGCAATTTCATTGAATAAAACTCCCAAAAACATAAAAATATTGCAAGATGCAATTGCAATTTCTTAGAAAAGATGCTATAACATCATTTTAAATTAATTTTAGACCATAACAAAGCCTGTGAAATCCTTGAGGGACTAATAAACAGTTGTTAATGTGCCACAGCCCGTCACCCGTGGCGTCCTCCAGGGCTCCGTACTTGGTCCCCTGCTCTTGTGCATACTACACTTTGGTCATATCCTGCAACGTCAGAGCCTCCACCTCTTCCTCTCTTTAAAGACGCTCCACCTGCTAACTAAAGGAAAATTTAATGCACAACCAAAGTGATTGCAATTAACCCTCAATTTGTGTATACATTTTAATGGCAATCCATCAAATAGTTGTCAAACATTTCACTCTAAACTAAAAATATCAACCTCACGGTGGCGCTTTGGATCTCCGAAGTCAGGTTGTTTACTGTTTAGTGCTACTAACTAACATTAGCATGCTAATATACAGCATAACAGAGAAATATCTGTCTCTTTAGCTGCTGAGTGCGTCAATATTTTCAACAGCTGGTCTCTAACTTTGTCTGTTTGGCACTGAGCAGGTAGCTTACGACGAGGAAATAACCAAAAACAATGCTACGACAGTGAAGTTAAACAATGAGCTGAAATAAAGTGTGATAATTTATCACTACGAATGAATCCTGTCACTTTATACATTGTATGAACAATATATAAGTGCACGTAAAAAAAAACAAAACAAGTGATGATAAGCCGGGTGTTTATAGTTTGAAAGTCCCTTTTTGTCTTCCTTTTAACTTTTAAACTTTAAAACCAACCCTGACACCAACAAACCCATCATCGGTGTTTCCACGACGACAACTTTACCACGGTCAGAGGTCACATTCATACAAATGTGATTCCTGTGCCGTCTGTAATCTCTTTTCATCAGCTCGGAGAAACAGTCACAATGGATTCACACGTCCTTGGGAGAAAAGAATATATCCAAAACATGAAAAAAAAACAAAAACCTTCACACCTCAGTTGCGCCGTCGTCGGACAGGAAATGGGAATGACTGCTTCCTGCCTGAGCCGGCTTTGAAGGCAGGCTACGAGGGACGATGTCATGGTGGAGCAATGTTCCTGCAGTATTCACCAGGCTCTTTGTAATGTGTGATTTACAGCTTCCAACTGCCCTCCTGCCCGCCCGCTGTTTCATCTGTGATTTAGTGTTTCCTGGTCAGATGGCTATCAGCTGCCTTACATGTCCGCTCTGTTCCTGCAGGACAGTACGTGGAAAAAAAAGTGACACACAAACGCTTTTAGGACTTTGCATATCAGCATTTCAAACAGATGTGTATCAAAACAGTGATAAATCTTCTGGAAAATAACATGAATTCACGACAATCATCAGTTTGATTGAAGTAAAAGTCTTCATAAAGTATTAAAAGTACTTATCCTGCAGGAATATGGCCTCTGAGACTGATATATCTTTATATGTGACATTATGTGATTGTTAATAGATGCGTAAAAGGGATTTTAATGGTGAAGCTGGTTGAGATAAGTTTTAACTACTTTTACACACAGTTTAGTCCAACTGTTCAAAATCTGAACCTCATTTCTTTGACTTTTCTCTAAATCTTTGCTGTTTGTGAAATACTTTGTAAGTTCAGAGGGGAGGTAAAGTCCCTAAAAGGTCGGAAACCTGCGCTTAAATCTTAAATAATAAGTTGTATTTGATATTTTGACTTTGTATCAATATAAAAAATAATTATAACCAAACTTCAAAAGTTGAGTTTGTTTCACTTAAAATGTTTAAATTGAATCCGTTTAAACTATTTCTTTGAGTTAAAACAACTTAAGATACATTTAAGTTACTTTATTCCGATAAATTCAGTTCACACATTTTTAAGTTTGTAGAAATTCTGCATATGAATGAACTTCAATGAACTAAATGAAATTAGTTCAACTTAATTTATAATAAATAGTTGAGTTACTTCCACTTAAATCTTCCTATCAGGATGATTTAAGAACTCTGTTAAGAATCATAGGAAAGGCATTCTTTCAAGTATCGAAGAGACACACAATTTTATTGCTTTAAAAACCAGAAATATCCATTAAATATGTTTATATTTTTCTGTATTCATTACTCTTTTTCAGTTTCTCTGCACTTTTATTCACTATTTTAAAAAAAGCTTTCACTTCTACTGAATTTTCTACCTCAATTTTCATTTTTTTCTTTAATTTCTCAATGTTTCAATACTTTTTGGAGACCACGCCACCATTTCACTGACTCCTGACCTCCCCCCTCTCTCGACACACTCCTGTTAATACTCAGCACTTTCCCCGCCTTAACCTCCGACCTCGTCCCTCCAATAACCTTCACCCTTACCATAACCCCAACCTCAACGTAAATACTCTGAACCTATAAATCCTAAACCTTTTTAAAATCAAAGGTTGAGGTGGTTTAAAGTTCAGCCCATCAACTGTCAGCTGTCATCTCAGTTTTTTTTTTGTAGCACACTTTTTAATCCAATTAAAACTGCATTAAGTGTTTTAGTTGCTTGTTTTTCTCTTGAAATTAACTTGACAGTTAAAAAAGCCTTAATTAAGACATAAATTAATTGACAGTAACATCTGTAAGGCAACATGCTGTTGAGCGATAATTTCCTGGAGGAGACAGACTCCCTTTTCTCTGTGTGTCTGTCAGATGATTGACAGTTAACAGAGTGGAAACACTGAACTCAAGCACAACGAAGAAATTATGAATAATAAGTCGATGAAAGTTATTTTTCCTCATAGAAAATACTGCTGTTAACTTTTAACTATTACTCCAACCTAACTGATGCTTTACTTCTTCTAAATATAATCCTGAATGTATGTATTAACTCTTAATTATTAGGTTATCTATCTAAAATATGTTTATATACCACTAAATAGGTTCACTGGCAACTTATTTTCGTTTAGTTTTAATTTAGTTAAACCAGCATTTACTGATGTAAACGTTCCCCTACTTTCCTGTACGTATGCTATGTGATAGCCTCATCTACTTCAAAGACAAAATTTTGAAGGTGGTTAAAAAAATAAAAGCGACATAATCACTTAAGTTAGCTCGTTAATGTTAGTAAAACGTAATATGTCGCTTTTATTAGCTTTCCGGGGTTCTGACCGACTTTGACCATTTTCACATAGTTTGGTGACACCAGAGTGTTTATTTTCGGAATAACTGGCATTCGGTTCAGTGGGACATTTTTTTGGACTATTGGGAATAATGGGGAACAATGTTTATTGCTGAGCTAGTGCTATTCATTTATTAAGCTGAGGATGTCAGTGGTATACTTTAAGTGTGTGTGTGTGTGTGTATATATATATATATATATATATATATATAAAGCCAGAAAAAAATGTGTTTCATTCACGTTTAGTCTTGCTTTAATAAATGTCTTTTAGGGGCCATATAACCGCTTTAAGCTCCAGGTCGTACAGCCCTTAATGAAGCCCTGTCAGCGCCCTCAGGCTCCTGTCTGACAAAGACTAACTGACACTCAGAGTGTCCGAGAATCCTCTTCCTTTTCCTTGTGACCTCCCTTCGCCTCTCCCTCTTTCTCACCCCCCATCCTTTCACTCTTTTTTTTCGGTGCCTATGTCCTCGTTGTCATTCTCTGCTCCTCGTCCTCCTCTCCTCCCACTCCTTCCTCTGCTGAGTGAGATAGCTGTAGGGATAGCGAGCAGATGGTGCGGCCGCCATGCGTTTTTTTTTTTAAGAGGCGTTCGCCGCTGAGTAAGTTTGTTTTTACTGTGTAAACATTCAACAGCTTCGCTAACTAATGATGGAGTCAGTGGAGTAGAAATACCCCTAAAGAACAGTAAGGGCCCGGTATTCACCCCCACAGCCTTTATCGACACCATGTCCTGAAATGTGACTTTAAACCTGATTTTAAAGTTATTTAATTACATAAAAGTTGATGTTCCAATTGTTTTTTCATGCAATTGAACTGTCTGTGTTTAATAATGGAGCCTTATCCATTGATTTTAGCTAACTATTTCAACCACTCAGCTATTTTAGCTTTAACTTCTTATCTTTTATCCTTAGCTAACTGTTTCAACCATTTATTCGTCAAGTGTATGGTACTATTTAAACTATTTATTTATATCAGCGTAACTATTAATAGTTGGCTACAGTAATGGATACATTTCAACCAATCATCCAATACCCTTAGCTAACTATTTGTGCTGTTTATTATTACTAAGTCATTTATCCATTATTGTAGCTAACCAGCTATTTCAACAGTTTATCCATTATGCTACTTTAGGTAAATATTTTAAACATTTATCACCTACTTTCAAGTATCTATTTCAACTTTAACTTCTATAGTTGTTTGCTAACTAGTGCTAACTGTCACAGCTGCAACGGATCGTGTTCAGGTGTTTAATAAGTCGATATACCTTATAAATAAAATCTGTATTTATGTTGTTTTTTTTCAAATTAACTGAGCTCCAGTTGCCCCCCCGAGGTACCTGTGGTTGAGAATCACTGCAGCAAAGTGTGTATATATAGATATATTTACTTATATAATATACTTATATATACAGTATATAGTTTAAGTGTTGCGTGCATTAAAGTGTGCCTTTGTGTGAACCAGTCCGGGTCCGGCCTCGTCCTGATCCCTCCCTCTCATCACGACTGTGCCTGTTTTTAATCTGGGCCTGTGATTTATGAAGGAGCTCCGACTGTGTATATCTCCTCACTTCCTTTCATTTCTCAAATGGTTTGTGCACTGCGGGATGATAGATTTATCTACACACAACCCCTGCATGACTAATTAACTCTGAAATATCAGGGCCAGATGTGGAACTGAAAGACGGACCCCAGAGTGCTTTCTCTCCATCTTTCTCCTTTTTCCAACTGTTGCTTGTGATTTTTCTTATTCCTCTCTTCGTCGGCATTCGGCTGTAATTCTGCTGATAATGTGACAGTGTGTGTTTTTTTTAAATGTTCTCTATTGACAATGAATCTGCTTCTGATATATTTTTTACAACCAGGCTTTGTGACAACTTTGCAAATGCGTTAACTTCACAATAAAATGCACCAGAGAACTCAAATAATCACACAGGTCTTAAATTATATCGTCAGTTATAAGGTTGAGCTCATTTAAATTACTTTATATTCGGTTTATAAATTGTTACTACAATATCTAAAACTTTTAATGAGCTCAGCTTTGTCACAATTCATTTTTGCAACTATTCCAAGAAGGTTTTTTTAATAGTTTTTTTAGTGTAAGAAGCATTTTTCTTAACCCATAAATAGAAGACTTTATCAGAAATATCACCACATCGTCAACATAAAAAACATGTAATTGTTATTAGTAATTGTAAGTATTTTTACTACGTACTATTACTACTTTTAATTAAAACGGCAACAACAAGCTTTCATTTTGTGTTGATTCTGGCGCCCCCTGTGGACAAAACCGGTAGTGTTTCTACCCGTTTCATTGATTTCAAGGGGAATATGACCGAATCCAAACTCAGTGGCAGCCAAGCTTCCTGTTTAGGGAACTTTTTATACAATTTTACAGTCTGTATTTTGTATTTTTTGGTAATTTTTAACACTCATACATATTTAATAAGCTTTTTTTGTTGTTGTTGACAAATTCAGTGTTTTCTTGTCCCTGACACTTTGGCCATTTACTTTTCTTCACAGAAGTGAACCAAATACTGAGATATCGGCCTACTGTGTATATTTTTTAAAGTTTTCTTAAAATCTGAAGGTTCCTCGCGACCCCCCCATGCAAAGCTATGACGACCCCTAGTGGATGGTCCCGGCCCTCCAGGTAAACTGTTTCATAACCACTTAAAAACTCCTTGTTTAAGTAAAGTAGTTAAGAGTTAAAACTGTTAATGCAAACATCCATTAAATCTTCAAATTTGACTCACCATACTTATCTGTTTCACATTACTTGAAGAAATACTGAATATACCAGTTTTTAGAGTAAATGAATTTAAAACAACCTCTACAGCTGCACATCCAGTACTTCTGTACTTTGTATTTTGTGCTTATTAGCAAATATTAGCATCAGAACTCAAAACACTGCTCTTCCTTATAGTCTCTCAGCTTCTAGCATTACTGTGTATTATTTCTCCCTAAATGAAAACACAAAAAGTTGTTTTTTTGTTTTTTGTTGGTGTTTTCTGGCTTTATAAGCAGTTTTATATTGAATCCTGTGTCCGCTGATGTGGAATCTGGCTTATAGCTGCATGCCTCATGGAGTCTGTCTGCATGAGATGAGTCAATACACAGGCTCAACAAGGTCCTTCACATCACACACCCATAAATCCCCCTTTATGACAGATTAGAGAGAGCAATGGCTTTTCCACTCGTTTACCCATAAATACAGCAACACGCTCAGCTGGTTTATGCTTCTCTCTTGAGATGATGGAGCGGGTGAGCTGATGTTTATAGCTGTCACGGACCAGCAGTGAATATGTCTCTTTACTGGCCGTGGTCCAGCTGAACTTCAAAAAGCCCCGCGCTCTGTAATGGAAAAGCAAAACAGCTGTGCGATATGATTTAAGCTTTGTTCCTCCCAGAGAGTTTTTTTTTTTTGTATGTGAGAGAAAAAGAACAAACAAGAACATTTTTAGAGAATATATTTCCTGCTTGCACGTCGTCGGGAGAGAGATAATATTTCCCACGCCGGGTTTTTCTTTTTTTTTTTTTTTAAAGTTCATGTCACACGTATTTTGGATTAGAAACAAAAGAGAGGAAATGAGTGTGGGGAGGAAAGGGGGATGTATAAAAAGGGAGGGGAGGAGAGGTTGTTGTGAGACAGAGAACAGGTTGGAAAAAAGGAGCCAGGCAGCGCCGTCAGATCTGATGTAGGCGTTTTTTCTTTTTCCCTGACAGCTGTAATTCTCCAGCCTACAGGATTTCATCAACGGCAGTTGCATTTAAGCTGCGCCGTGGGGCAGCGGGCCTTTCAAGTCTCCTTCCTCTGACAGGTAGATTTATTAGTCCTGAAATTTGTACAGATCACACGTCACTCATGGCGAGCTGTCAGCGTGTCAGATGGGGCCTTCTGGCTCTTTTTTTCCCTTATTTTCTTAAGGTGGATCTTCTTCCGGAAGAGGCTCACCATCGACTCCCCCGCCTCCCCTCCCACGTCTCCTCACCCATAACTTACTCAGTTCAAACCTGTGTTGAAAGTGGAGAGTAAAACAAGACGGAAACAGGGGAAAAAAAACAGTAATGCTGATAAGAGACCAGAGTTATTATAGTTTTCATATTTTTGTTTTTAATTCAGTTTAGTTTTTTGTCTAGGAATATAAAAATATATCAAGTTTAATTCCTAAGAAAATTTAAATCAATAAGATGATAAATTAATCATGATACACGTCTTAAACCATAGAGCTCTTTTTTAGACTTTGACACAAAAGTAAATATGTACTTTATTGCACAGTTTATACCCGACCTCAGAAATAATAAAAAGGATTCTTTCATTTGATAAAGAAAATACACATTTTGGAAAATTTTGAATCTTTTTCAGGCAGATCACAACTCCCTCGCTTCACCCTGCCCTTTCAAACTAGAGTCACTGTTTGGTTTGTCCCTTCTGGGCTACTGTAGAAATGTGGCGGTTCAACATGGCTGATTCCATAGAAGGCGACCCTGTAGATAAACACGACTCATTCTAAGGTAACAAAAACACAACAGTAATTATATTCAGGTGATTAAACCCTAATAAAAACATACTCTGACCGTTATATTAAATCTCTGCTAACAGGTCCTGCTGAATGTTACTTTAAATATGAAATTAGTCGTCTGTCATGGGGCAAATAAAACTGTTAGTCCCCGCTTTAACCCCTCGGCCGCTCTGCTGCCCGTCTCCGTGACCTCTGGCCCCTGGTTAAACTCCCAGCATGCCCTGGGGCTTGAGGTTCACGCCTGGGTCTAGACCAACAAACACAGTTTCAAAGGTCACCACTTCTTAGCTTGTGTGTGTGTGTGTGTGTGTGTGTGTGAGAGAGAGAGAGTGAGTCCTTGTTTTCACCTTTTCAACTCTCCCAATCGCCCTGCTGGGAGCAAAAAGAAAATGAAAACCGCTGCATCCACCTGGATCTAATTTTCTACTTTGTGTGTGTGAACATGTGAACTCTTCAGTGCTCTGATTGTGCGTCTGCATGCTTGGATTCTTTCTTCTGAACATCATGGAAATAACATCTATAATCCATATTTTATTATTTCTGAAGGTGACCATATTTTCAAAACATCCTCCAAACCGGGACCCTTATGTTGAGCCTACTGCGCGTTCATGCACAGATTTTAATGCAGCATGTTCTCACCAGGATTGGGGGCAATTATTTCAGCACTTTTTAGCACAGTGGTTTTCAAACTGGCGTCCGGGGACCAACAGGAGTCCTTGAGTGGGTTGTAAAGGGGTCCCCATGCTAAAATGTGTTGTGCTGTGATTGATTGCAATTTACAGTGACCATGCTTCGATCGTGCATCTGTTTCATCAAGTGCGACGATTTCTGTCTTTTAGGAAGCTGCCGGAAGCTTGTCCCGAAGTTCTTCGAATCCAGGTTTCCTAAATATTATACATAAGGTCCCGGAAGCTCGGTGACGAACTGGCTAGCTAACATGCTAGCCAGCTAGTTTCTGCTCCTGGATAAGGGTCTAAATTAAGTGCTGGGGGCATTATTTGAACCCCGCAAAAAAGTCCCTTTGGGGGTTGGGGCTCGCAGTGCTGAACATTTCTGATTGGTCAATTACTCACAGCAGGGCAGCAACACATCAGCATGGAGTTACAGAAGAATTAGTGGACTAATTTTCCTGATCTTTACAAGTCTTTAGACTGTGTGTATGTGTATATATATATATATATATATATATGTGTGTGTGTGTGTGTGTGTGTGTGTTTGTTTAATCCCCTTACAGGTTCTCAGGACTGTAGCCTACATCAATTTCCTCGAGTGAAGAGTTGCTGAAAAGCTCAGATCTAGCTGATTTGTTAACTTTTAGGACAGGAAGTTCAACACCGTTTATCCAAGACAAGTATTTAAGTCCTCTGTCAGAACCGTCTAAAAATGATGTCTCTGTTGTGAAACAGTTTCAACTCTGACATATAAGGTTAAATTAAAAGTGGATGCAGCTAATTAGCTACGATCGCTTCCTCCATTTTTGACTCTCTAGCGTTACGTTCCCGCAAAAAAGGTCGGCCTTGTCAAATTCACATCGTCCCCCGCATGCACGTCCACTGATTGCTATGAATTATGGGCTAAATTAAAACCAGATCAGTATCTGCCTCGGTGCAAACGGACCTCATTGACTTTACTTACCGTGTTATCCCCTCCAGTCTGACTGACTGGAGAGTGACCCCCGCGTGAAGCTGCTCCCTGCAGGTTTGAACCTCTCAGAAAAGCTTCTGCGGTTGCTGCTGTCTTCATGTCCCTGTCAGGTAATTTATGGTTTTTCAACCCTGCAGGATCCCAGCCAGCGTTACCCATGAACTCTAAAGGAATTCAACACACACACAAATGAGGAGGAGGGAGCTGAGCGTTGTGTAAAGGGACTGCAGCAAATGGTGAAATCTTGGGATTTCCATTTCATACAGAAACTTCAGTAAGTAATTCCAGAGTCACAAATGCAAAAACTGCGGCCGCCGCCACCGCCCGCACTCTTGAGCGTAGATGAGAGACACATTAAAACCATGTGTTTCCACTCTACACGGTGACCCGGGGAAGTCTCCAAAATCCCCAGCACAAGCCCCAAGCGCCTGCCACCAAGCACTAGAGTCACCGGTCTGCTCAACGCCTCGCTTCAAACCAGATTTTCTACTTCCCGTGCCAAGCTACTGCCACATCCCATTTCTCATCTGACCTTGATGGACCTAATGTGGGAATCCATTATCACACCCGTACTTCTTTTGCGGCTTTTTCACTCTGTTTCTTTTTTTTTCGGCCCTCGTCGGCTGTCATGGATCCACAGCGAATGCCTCCGGGGAGGCGGCAGCGGGGAAGGAGGGAGTCTCTGCTGACCCAGGCCCGGGGTCATCCTCCGCTTTAGTCCTGTTCACCGTTGTCAAAAGACATTCTCTTAGTGTCAGCACGCAGAATAAGAGACAGTAGGTCCAATGTAATGTGCTGGGATCTAAATAAAAGGAGTTTTGTTGGGTAGCCACACTTGATTTTTCAAGGCTTTTGAATAGATGTGCTTGTGCTACAGTTACTTGACCTCTCCGTGCCCAAGACTGCGAACAATCCCTCCTGTGTTTCACAAATTGTCAAACTCTCATTCACTCTTCCATTTCTATAGTTAAAGAGTTGTACCACTAAACATAAATGTGTCCCCCTATATATAGTGAATGTAACCGCTGCTTTGTCTTAATCTCTTTCACACACAGCGTTTGTGTCTCTCTCTGTGAACTCTTCACCCCAGCTGCCGACAGACGGCTGTCATGCTAAATTATACCTACGTTGTTTTGCGGCCTCTCGCTTCGATTGACAGACAGGCGGTAAGATCAGAGAGATACAGATTAACTCGCTGTTTATGTCTTGTGAGTTTTCCTTCCACACTTTACAATTAGATTACAGCTGGTCTGAAATGCCAAAACTTCTTCCTTTTTAGTTTAATAGCAGGTGGCACCAACCTAAATATATCTGGTGAGGTGGTTTTATGCTACTTGTCAGCACCAAACAGCAACTAGCTGGTGAACAAAATGGAGCATTTAGCAGCTAAAGAGCCAAATATTTCCCTCATAAGACCAAATACAGAGTAAATACTGGATTTAAATTCATCAAAAAGACACAAACACGACTCCAAATGAACAATAATGTTCCTCCTTGAACTGCTGGAGGTGTGAATTAGCAACTGTTTGCTAACATGTTCCATATATCAGCTTTAAAAGGTGACGATATCTGGGCTGAGACTTCTCTACAGTCCGATTAGCAACCTGAGAACGACGAGAAAGACACAGTTTGGCAAATTTGTAAACATGCATGCAACTAAAGTCCGCTCAAGTGTTTATAGACATTGAAAACGTGGTTATATGTTAATGTTTACAACTTGTTTACGCTGCCCCAAGTAACCAAACACAGTTATTGCAGGGTTGGACAATAATGGACAGAGCTTCCAGGTCTGTGAAGTGTCTTGTACTTGAATTATATGTAACGGCCAGCAGGGGGCAGCTCCATTGGCTGCAATAACACACAGATACCATACAGTCTTATGGAGAAATGAGCCGACTTTTCACTTGATTTATGAGCTCAGTAAAGGCTTTCCTGATGAGTCTATGGTCTCAATCTCTAGTTTAAAGTCTTCTTCCATACAGCAAGATGTTCATTTAGTAAATGAGGGTCCTATTTAGTGTGTAATAGACGATAAAGCCAGGTATGCTTGTGATTAATAGAATATGTATCCAGATTCTGTTATTGCGTTGACTATTTCTCACCTTAAATTGTTTCAGAAACATATTTTAGTGAACTGTTTATCTGGAATACGAGATCGTGTGTGACCAGCCGCCATTGTTTCCTGCTAAGGACGAGTCGAAACAACCGACAAACAGAACAAAAAATATAAAAGTAATAATTTAGGAGACAGGGTTTCCTCTGTATTGTTTGTGTGACAGGTAGGTGGGTCGGTGTACAGGTGAGGTGACACAAGGTGAGCGTGAACTTATGTTGTTGTATGTTGTTTTGAAGGTTACCAACCAAAGACTGCTTATAATTTATGGTCAAAAAAACCAATTTGAATGCTTTTTTCCCCCACTGTATCTGTAACAGCATGGTCAAAAGTGGAAGATAAAGGTCTCACATCTGCTTCGGTTGCTCTAAGGCAACACCTGCCACCTCGCTGTGAGGTCTCCTGGATCTCGTCCCACCTTTTGACCAACTCAAAGAACCGTAGGAAAATGTGTTAACTGCTCCCTTTTTTTTTTTTTGTCAAAGCGTCCTGCAGCACCAGTGACTGATTTACAACACGTAGCTTTTAAAAACGGTAATTTATTGCGATGTGCTTGAAAAGCGTAAGCTGATTAAAGTGGAGCGGCACAATGGCTGCGCTGCTCAACTGAGATCAATGCTTCGTTTGATTTCGATGCCAAGGCGGCCCCCGAATGACGAGCCCGACTGAATTTCTGAAAAAAAAGTTTAATTATTCAGGAATTATTTTATGTGATACTTTGCACTCCTCTGAGCGTGTGCTCACTTGTTACTGTCAGTGGGGGAAAGTTTTGCTGTTTAAGCTTTGATTTCCCACCTGAGAGTAAATATAGAGGATAAAATAAGACAAAAGGAGACAAAAGGTGTTTTCAAACTTGTGCTGTTCAGTCTGGAAGAGTCTGGTTTGTTCTCCTCGTTTTGAGCAGATGTGAACACTCAACAACCACATTGAGACACAAACAAACTCTTGAGAGGTTTAAAGTCTAAGGTTAATGGCTAACGTAGCTATAGCATGATGCTCTGCGTGATTGGGTGCTTTAAATCTTCTCACCAATAAGTGCATTTAACTAAAGACTTTGTTGAAACTTGATTATTTTAAAGTCTAAGTAACACAAACAAACAAGATTCTTGATGTTTAAGCTGCTTTTACTTATAATTTTAAGTGGCACTAACTTAGTTACAGAAACATTCCTGATAACCTTTTTACAAAGTATGTTGTTTTCGGAGTACAAATTAAATAATTCTGACTTAAAATAACTAAAACTATTTGATCAAGAGTGTTTTTTAACTTACAAAATGTTCCTTTAAAAGTTTGATAATCAGTTAACTTGGTGTGTGCTTTTTTTCTGCCCCGAACAACCAAAATACAGACCCGAACAGATGCACAGCTGTAAGATAGCTAGCTAACGAATGACTGATTAGAGTAATTTTAACTTGCTGAAACAGATTACATCAAAAGTTAAGTAACACAAAACTCACTTTTGTAAGTTGCAGCTTTTTTAATAAAGCAATATAGGACCGAATGATTGTACGATCCTATAAATACAATCCAGAAATGTCTCCGTAGATGGAAATAATAAGACCCAAACACGGTGAGATGTTGTGGTTGTTGGACTCAGTGTGTGTTTAAGGTTTCTATATGTAATGGTTATTGGATGACGGGGTTAAAGTAACACGTACAAATGCACACCAAGAGCGTCTTCAGAGCATGCTGCCTGCCTGACGTTAGTTTTGTTTACTTATTAATGAGAAAACACAAGTAAATGAGTGTTTTGTCTGCTTCAAATCTCCTGTAACCCGCCTCCGACTGACTGACTGGCTTCTGCAATATTGATCCAGGGTGACATTCGATCGGTACGAGTCTGCACGAGGGGTTTTATTTTGAAATTTGACCGAACTTCCCTATAACGTTCCTGTGTCTGACCTGATACGAGTTGCGGCTTCCATCGAAAATAGACCAAAATAACGACCACAAAATAAAACGACAATCCATCCGGCAGTTGGTATTTTAGTCCGTGGTGGGCCGACCAGCTGCGAGAATAACATTTCCATCCAATGAGTCACAATCTCATAAACAAAATGAAAATAAATTATGCAAATGTATGGGATATTAGTGGTGGGAGATGTTCCAAATCCCTTTCTCATATCTAGATAATAAAACAGGTGTTTTGGCACAAAAAGATCCTCCAGTGTGAATGTTGACATTAGGATATAATCTATCTATAGTTATATAATGTGTGCTGTCGTTGACTCCCTTCTTTAAAGGTGCAAGGCCTCGTCTCTCTTAGGGTTGAGATACAGGCCACAGTCTTTAAATCCCTCACCCTCGGGGGGCGGGGAGGACCACGTTCATGTGAGGGTGTGACAGTGAGGATCATCTGGCTCGAATCAGCCAAACAATCACGGTTCAGTGGTCCTCAGACAAGCTGGCCCAGATGATCGACGCTGACACCGCCATCGAGGGCTGCGTTATCTTTATATCCCAGCAGATAAGATGACGGCTCTGAATTAATTACACTGCAGGAGTCTCTAATGCAAACAGAGACAGAGATGTTGTCCTCTTCAAAGGTTATCAACCCAAGTTCCAAGAAATAGAGCTTTTCAAGAGGCTTCTGTTCTTTTGCTTTCCGCTGTCACATCTGCCAACATCTGCTGCCACTGTCTCTCTCTCTCTATAGCTTTGAGCTATGAACCCAAACTGGTGTTGTAGCAGATTTCATGTACAACGCTGCATGCTTGTCTCTTCCTATTCCCTTTTTTTTTTTACTTGACACATCTGCCGCTCTGTGTGTGTGTGTGTGTGTATGTGTGTGTGTGTGTGACTCCAGCAACAGATACCCACTATCAGCCTTTTTTAATTTCGAGAGATGTGAGAAGTGATGAAAGGAGAAAGAAAATAAGTAAGATGTCAACTTTAATGTCAAACACCGAATGTGAGCTTTCATTATTTCCACCCGCCCTCCTGTGTTGTCTGGCTCGTAAGCAGCGCTGTAACATTAGCCGCGTTGCTTGGAGCGACACTCTGTCAGGTAGAGTTTAGAGACTCTGACACAGTATCCAGTATCGCCCTCCTCCTCCACCAC